GCAAACAACATTATAATCGCATGCATATATATCAACATTTACGAACAACAAGCAACTTCACATTTCATATCAAATCATTGGTCCTCTCATAGAACCCAAACCTAAATACTTAGCATATCGAAATGTGGTACCCGATCCCAATGTTATGCCAAAACGTGGCAACAGATCCCATATTTATGCCGGAATGTGGCAACCGATCCAAGTTAGTTATGTCGAAACGTGGCAACCGATTCCATTCACACATTTCAATCACAATCACAATCATAACTATATCTTCAAGATCATACATTTAAGTCATAATTCATGGCATTCATCATTCCTCTAACTCATTTACAACAACTGTGATCAATAATGCAACATTCATATACATACAAGTATCATAATGAGGCAAGAACAAACATACATCACACAATCATAGAATCACAACCATCACCTACCTCGAAAGAAGCTTGAAACCCCAAGAAACTTGATCCTTCTCTTTCCGGATTTGTTTCGCTTGTTCTTGGTCTACAAACAATCAATATAATATGTGAATCAATAAACAATCACTAATTACCCGAATTACTAACAATTCTATGAACCCTAGATCAAACCCATAATTCCAATTATCCAAATTAGGGTTGTTTCTACTATAGAATCTATAACAAAACCCTCCCCTATCAATATTCACCCATTCTATTACGTTCTACAGATCGAAAAATGGATTTGGAGAGTGAAAAGCTTACCTTAGCCTTCAGAATGGTGAAAAACGAGTAGGAGTCACCTGGGGTTCGTTCCTTAGTTCTAAAATTTGAAAACTGCATAATAGGGTCATTTAGGGGTTTATTTGTCAGGCCTCGAGCCTACACCCTGGGAAACACTGGCACTCGAAGACCATTGTTGTCCCCAAGCGAACCTTTGGCCTGGCTTACTTAACTCAGCGGAAGACTTAAACTCAACAAAGATAAGTTCATACAATAAACTGGAATGTTATAAAGGAACATTCAACTGGCCATTAAGGTAAACTCAAGTCTCAACATGGAATAATGACAATGAAAAGACTAATGAACTAACATCTGACTGTTTATGAAGCCTCTAATAACAATTGAGATGGATGTTGGGAAAAACCCCCATAACATCCTAATGAACTAAAATAGGAAACAATGAAAAAGATCCTCCGGAATGCAAGGAGGCTCACCAATAGAGTCTGAAATGCTCACTGGATCAACGATGCAATGGAATACTGATCTTAGTTACCGGTGTCTGCATCATAACACGATGCAGGCCAACTTGCATCAGCACATTGAATGTTCGAGTATGCGAGTTGGAATGCTAAAACAACATAGGCTTGAAAGGGGAATCTGAAAGAAACATTTACCTTGGCTCTTCTCAAATCATGAATACTTAACTAGACTCATTTCAATATAAAACAGTTTAAAACAAGTGCAATATAAAGAAAATATGTTTAAAAACATGATGTCAACTCTGTGTATATACAAGGATACAACATGACTCAGAAATGTATGTAAAAATACAATAACTGATGTATATAATAAAACAATAACTGCTGTGGGAGTTTCTCTAACTGACAATCATCACATAAGAGTTATAGTGATGATACAGTGATCTACCTCACGCTGCCAGTGCATCCTATACCCGGTCAAAGGTATAGAACCTGAACTACCGAATGGATCCACTAGTCTAATTTTAAAAGGATTCATCTAAAAAGCATGAACCTCTTTTACCCATGATGGCTAGATGGTTCTATGGGGCTGTGGGTTCTTTGAACTCTCTCCTAATTCAGTGCTCAATACTACTCCCAAAAATGTACTGGCTCTTATGTTTTTAAACATATTTCCTCTATGATTTGAGATTAGTGCTCAAAAGATCTTAGCTCAAAGGCTATCTTGGAAATCAAAGTTTCCCTTCTTGCTTCATTTAGAAAGTGATTACTCTTTTCTGAAAACTAGCTCGAAGGCTCTTCGGAAATCTTAGTTTCCAATCTTGTTTAAATGTGAAAACATTTCCTTTAAACTTCTTGGGAATACATAGTCCCCATATAACTCTTTGAAGAAAAGAACTTCAAACCATAGCTTTACTCTTGCTTAACTTCAAAACTTAAGTCTTAAAATGACGTTAAAACATTGTTAAAGACCCTTGAAGACTTTAAGAAACTTTTCTTTGCTTTTACTTGCTTCATTAATTTCTAAACTTGACTCTTAACTTCTTTGACTTTGAACTTAACTTTCCTTGAATTGAATTATGGATTCAAGGTTCATGATCTCATATTTATGGATGATTTCATGATGTTTAGATGTACTTTAGAGTGTTGGAATTGACTAGGAAACATAGGTACATCGCTTAGGAACAAGTACGAGAAGGTGGGGAGAAATGGGGAGAACTGGTGTCCCTGGCTCTCTAAGACACGCGGGGCGCAAGCCCTCAAACGTCAGAGAGACTGCTGGGGCGCGCTGGCTGGCGCGTCTCCCCAAGGGGTGGACTTCAGAGTCCCTTTTGGGGTGCGCTGGCTGGCTCGGCGCCCCACCCCCCTTCCCCAGGTTTTGATAATTTTTCTTCTCCGATTTTCAACTCTAAATCTTCTAAACCTCATTGGTTCTTTTCCCAAACAATTATAATCATTTATACCCTCAATACCCAATAGATTTAACTCGAAAAAGAACCTGGAAACACAAATCAATCAATACTAGGCATTCAACAATCAACCAACAAGAATTAAACAATGTTCTTCAAGAACTTCACTTCCTTAACATTTAAACAATTCCAATCTTTGATGCAGTGAAGACGTTGTTGTGTGGGTGAATTAACCCAACACGAAAAGATCTCACGTACCTTAATAGGGATCACCCTCGATGAATTCCACTCCAAACGCTTGACGTTCTTGACAAAATCTTGGCTTTTCTCCATTTCTTTCTTCTTTTCTCTTTTCTCCAAGCGCTAGGCGCATTCTAATTTTCTAAACTGAATAAAGTCTATTTTTTACCCCAATTTATCTCCTAAAAGCGAATTAGAGTAATTAGGTAAGGAAAAGACTGAATCGCCCTTCTAAAATCGGGATTAAACAATTCTGTATTCCAACAACCCAACTTCCAAAGGACATAACTTGCTCATATGAACTCGGAATCGCGCAAACTTGGCGATGTTGGAAAGATCATTCCAAGATATTCACAACCATATCTGGATCTACACCTAACTCATCTTGAGCTAGTAGTTATGGCTGTTTGAAGTTGACCAAAAACTCAACTTTAACTTACTTACAATTTTTTCCAGATTTCCTTATACTTTCCAAAAATAACTATTTCCAGATTTTAAACTTCTTTCTAATTCTTTCTAGTTGCGAGATGTTACAATATCTCCCCCCTTGGGAACATTCGTCCTCGAATGAGATTTACTCTTACTAAGCTAAGGGTAGTAACATCAAGTTCAAACACCCAACAAGCAAATGCAAACAAACAACATTATTACTCATAATCTAGATAGTACTAAGAAGAAAATTAGTACCTTGGTCTGCATTTTCATTGGATTCAAAGAGATGTGGATATCTCTCTTTCATATCCTCCTCAGCTTCCCAAGTAGCTTTCTCCACAAATTGGTTCCTCCTAAGGAATTTGACTGACACAACCTCCTTTGTTCTCAACTTCCGAACTTGGCGATCTAGAATCTGAACCGAAATCTCCTCATAAGATAAGCTATCCTTGATCTCAATATTTTCAATTGATATGATCAATGAAGGATTGCCCATGCATTTCTTCAACATAGAGATGTGAAATACCGGATGAACCGCTGCCAACTCTTGTGGTAGTTCGAACTCATAAGCTACATTTCCAATTATTTTGGATATTCGATAAGGTCCAATATATCGGGGACTAAGTTTCCCCTTCTTACCAAACCTCACAATACCCTTCATGGGTGAAACTTTCAAATATACCCAATCATCTACTTCGAACTCTAACACATTTCTCTTAATATCAGTGTAGGATTTTTGATGACTCTGTGCCGTTTTCAACCTTCCTTGAATCACTTTCACCTTCTCCATAGCTTGGTGAACTAAATCTGGTCCTATCAAGCCTGCTTCACCAACCTCAAACCATCCAATAGGAGATCTGCATCTTCTCCCATAGAGAGCTTCATAAGAAGCCATTTGGATGCTAGAGTGATAACTGTTGTTGTAAGAAAACTCAATGAAAGGTAGGTGATCATCCCAATTCCCTTTGAAATCAATCACACAAGCCCTCATCATATCTTCTAAAGTCTAAATAGTGCGCTCTGCTTGCCCATTAGTTTGAGGATGAAAGACAGTACTTAAGTTCACTTTCAAACCCAAACCTTTCTAAAAAGATTGCTAGAACTGTGCATTAAATTGTGCACATCTATCTGAAATAATGGAGACTGGGACCCCATGAAGTCTTACCAATTCTTGAATATATAACGTGGCATAATCTTCTGCTGAATGGGTGGTCTATACTGGTAGAAAATGGGCTGATTTTTTCATTTTGTCGACAATCACCCAAATAGAATCGTGTTGTCTACGAGACCTTGGTAAACCTGTGATGAAGTCCATATTTATCATCTCCCATTTCCATTCTGGAAGTTCTATATTGTGCACCAAACCATCGGGCCTTTGGTGCTCAACTTTCACTTGTTGGCAATTTGGACACGTAGCAACAAACTCTGCAATGCCCTTCTTCATACCATTCCACCAATACACTTCTCTCAAATCGCATACATCTTTGTGGAACCCGGATGAATGGAATATCTGGAGCTATGAGTTTCCTCCATGATCCTCTCTTGTAGTCCATCTACCATAGGTAAACAGAATCTACCTTGATATCTCAATACACCATCCCCCCCCCTTGTTTAAAAGCTAATACTCTTTGCTTATGAACATTTGTCTTTAAGTCTAGCAAAATGGGATCTTGGTCTTGCTTTTCTTTCACTTCTGACACTACTGATGATTCAGCCCCATTCTTCACCACTATTCCTTCTTCTGTGGAATCCATCAGTCAGACTTCTAAGCGTGCAAGTCTATGCACAACTTTCTCTAACTCTCTCTTTTCTTCATCGACATGGGAAGTACTACCCATAGACAAGCTGTTCAAGGCATCATAAACAACATTAGCCGTACCTGGGTGATAAAGAATACTCATGTCATAATCCTTGAGTAAGTCTAACCACCTCATTTGTGTGAGATTGAATTATTTCTGAGTGAACACATATTGTAAGCTCTTGTGATCGGTGAATACATCAACATGAACACCATACAAGTAGTGACGCCAAATCTTCAAAGCGAAGACTACCGCAGCCAACTCTAAGTCATTGGTTGGATAGTTCTTCTCATGAACCTTCAACTGTCTGGAGGCATAAGCTATCACCTTGCCATTCTGCATTAGGACACAACCCAAGCCAACTCTAGATGCATCACAATACACCACAAAACCGTGAGTACCTTCTGGTAAGGTAAACACTGGGCAGTAGTCAACCTCTTCTTCAATTCCTGAAAGCTTTTCTCACAAGCTTCAGACCATTGAAACTTAACTGTCTTCTGAGTCAATTTCATCAAAGGGGATGAGATAGACGAGAACCCCTCTACAAACCTTCTATAATAGCCAGCTAAACCCAAGAAACTCCTAATATCAGTTCGAGATGTGGGTCTAGGAAAAATCTGCACTGCCTCAATTTTCTGAGTATCAACTTTAATTCCATCACCAGAAACTATGTGGCCCAAGAATGCCACAGACTCAAGCCAAAACTCACACGTAGGGAACTTGGCGTACAACTCCTTATCTTTCAAAGTCTGAAGAACTATTCTGAGATGGCTAGCATGATCCTCTTCATTCCTTGAATAGATTAGTATGTCATCAATGAAGACGATAACAAACATATCTAAATAAGGTTTGAAGACTCTATTCATAAGGTCCATGAACGCTGCTAGTGCATTAGTTAAACCGAACGACATGACCAAAAACTCATAATGACCATAACGGGTCCTGAATGCTATCTTTGGAATGTCACATTCCCTTATTTTTAACTGATGGTAACCTGATCTGAGGTCAATTTTTAAGAAACAGGAAGCACCCTGAAGCTGATCGAAAAGATCATCAATCCTCGAAAGAGGATACTTATTCTTGATGGTAACCTTGTTCAACTGGCGGTAATCTATACACATCCTAAGGGAACAATCCTTCTTCCTCACAAACAAGACCGGAGCACCCCAAGGTGAGACACTTGGATGAATGAAACCCTTATCTAGCAAATCTTTCAACTGCTCTTTAAACTCTTTCAACTCTGCTGGTGCCATTCTATATGGTGGAATAGATATCAGACGAGTATCTGGAAGAAGATCTATACCAAAGTCTACCTCTCTCTCAAGAGGAACTCCGGGAAGATCATCTGGAAAGACTTCTGGAAACTCTTTTACTACTGGAACTGACTGAATAGGAGGTACCTTAACACTTGAGTCATTAACTCGAACTAAGTGATAGACACACCCCTTAGAAACTAACTTTATTGCCTTAAGGTACAAAATGAAATGACCCTTAAGCACTGTTGAACTGCTTTTCCACTCTAAGACTGTCTCATTTGGAAACTGAAACTTGACTACTCGAGTTCTACAATCAACTGAGGCATAACAGGCATGAAGCCAGTCCATACCAAGAATGACATCAAAATCTACCATGTCTAACTCAATTAAATTAGCCATGGTACTCTTGTGATTGACAAAAACAAGACAATCACGATAGACTCTCTCTGCTAGAATAGACTTACCAACAGGTGTATAAACGTTGAATGGTTCACTAAGTTGCTTAGGAATAACATCAAAATTCATAGCAAGATAAGGAGTTACGAAAGATAAACTCGCTCCTGGGTCTAGCAAAGCATAAACAGTAAAGTCAAAGACTTGAATCATACCAGTGACAACATCTGGTGAATCTTCTTGCTTTTGGCGACTGTTGATAGCATACAAGCGGTTTGTTCCTCCGCTAGTACCGGAAGTAGCCCCTGTAGGTGCAACTCTGTCTGGTGGAGCAACTGAAGAAGACTAGGCTCTATTGCCCCCCATTACCATGTCCCTGCTTGTTCTTTGGACACTCTCGCATGAAATGTCCACTCTGACCACATTTGAAACAACCAGTGGATCCTTCACGACGAATACCTGAATGGTTTATACCACACTTGGCGCAAGCAGGAGGCTTACTACCCCCTTGCGCCACACTACCCTATGAATAGGTAGGTTTAACTCTCGAATTTTGACCATAGTCCATAGTACCCACTCTTGTTCTTAGGTGTAGGTGCACTAGCAGATGATGGAGCAGGTACCTTCTGTTTCTGTTGGAAAGACGACAGGTTCGCATTACTCTTCTGTTGCTCGAACTCATTCCCTTTCTTAGCTCTCTTGTTCTTGAACTCCTCTCTATCCCTTAGCTTCTCTTCCTCTACCTGCTGCACATAGACCATCAATCTTGAGATATCCATGTCCATAATAAGCATTGTTGCCCGGCCCTCATTGCTTGACAGGCGACCCAAACCAGCAACAAACAAACTCATCCTACTCTACATGTCCGCAATTATTTCAGGAGCATAGCGAGACAGTTGGGTGAACTTCAACCCATACTCATGCACACTCAAAGAATCCTACTTTAGTGTGAGAAACTCATGTACCTTAGCCTCTTTCAGTTCTCGGGGAAAGAATCGCCCCAATAAGGCCTTCTCAAAACATGCCCAACTCACAGGTGGTGCATTCTCAGCTCTACCCCCTTTCCACTGATCAAACCAGGTCCTAGCAACATTCTTCATCTGATATGCAGCTAGCTCAACTCTTGCAGTATCAACAACATGCATAACATCGAGCACCTTTTTCAGTTCCTCAATGAAATTCTCTAGGTCCTCTGCAGAGCTCGAAATAGTGAAACTTGGGGGATTCATCCTCAAGAACTCATGAATCCTTGAAGTGTCAGCCTTTTCTTGCCGAGCTCCTCTCTGCTGCCCAACTTGATTGGTCACAACTTGGCTAAGCATCCTTATAGCCTCTCTAAACTCAGCATTAGAGACCTCTCCTTGCGGTTGCACTTCAGGTGCATTAGGTAACTCTTGCTCTTCAATATTTCTCCTAGCTGGACGACCTCTGACTGCTCTTCATGGAGGCATGATTATCTGAAAACACGTGCAAGCACGAATTAGAGGGAAATTGTTTAGAGATAAACTCTAACGCACGAAAAGAGTGTGAAAGAAGTGAGATAGTTCCTAAATGTTGCAACCTCCTAATTATAGATGTGGCGCGCTTCACATAGATAAATAGGACTCTATAGATACGACTTCATGGACTCTTGAACTCTGTGCTCTAAGACCAGGTTTGTCACTCCCCGAGCCTACACTTAGACGTGACTGGCACTCGAAGACCATTGCTGGCCCTAAGAGAACCCTTGGCCTGGATTACTTAACTCAGCGGAAGACTTAAACTCAACAAAGATAAGTTCATATAATAAACTGGAATGTTATAAAGGAACATTCAACTGGCCATTAAAGCAAACTCAAGTCTCAACATGGAATAATGACAATGAAAAGACTAAAGAACTAACATCTGACTATCTATGAAGCCTCTAATAATAACTGAGATGGATGTTGGGAGAAACCCCCACAAAATCCTAATGAACTAAACTAGGAAACAATGAAAAGGATCCTCCGGAATTCTAGTAGGCTCACCAACAGACTCTGAACTACTCACTGGATCAACGATGCGCTAGAATGCCGATCCTAGTTATCTGTGTCTACATCATAACATGATGCAGGCCAACTGGCATCAGTACATTGAATGTACGAGTATGTGAGTTGGAATGCTAAAACAACATAGGCTTGAAAGGGGAATCTGAAAGAAACACTTACCTTGGCTCTTATCAACTCATGAATACTAAACTAAACTCATTTTAATATAAAGCAGTTTAAAACAAGTGCAATATAAACAAAATATGTTTAAAAACATGATGTCAACTCTGTGTATATACAAGGATACAACATAACTCTGAAATGTATGTAAAAATACAATAAATGATGTATACAAAAATACAATAATTGTTGTGGGAGTTTCTCTAACCGACAATCATCACATAAGAGCTATAGTGATAATACAGTGATCTAACTCATGCTGCCAGCGTATCCTATACCCGGCCAAAGGTATAGAACCTGAACTGCCTAATGGATCCACTAGTCTAATTTGAAAAGGATTCATCTAAAAAGTATGAACCTCTTTTACCCATGATGGCTACATGGTTCTATGGGGCTATGGGTTCTTTGAATGCTCCCTTATTCGGTGCTCAATACTGCTCCCAAATATGTACTGGCTCTTATGTTTTTAAAATATATTTCCTATGTGATTTGAGATAAGTGCTCAAAAGATCTTAGCTCAAAGGGTATCTTGGAAATCAAAGTTTCCGTTCTTGCTTCATTTAGAAAGCGATTAATCTTTTCTGAAAACTAGCCAGAAGGCTCTTTGGAAATCTCACTTTCCAATCTTGTTTAAATGTGGAAACATTTCTTTTAAACTTCTTGGGAATACATAGTCCCCATATTACTCTTTGAAGAAAAGAACTTCAAACCATAGCTTTACTCTTGCTTAACTTCAAAACTTAAGTCTTAAAATGACGTTAAAACATTGTTAAAGACCCTTGAAAACTTTAAGAAACTTTGCTTTGCCTTGACTTGCTTCATTAACTTCTAAACTTGACTCTTAACTTCTTTGACTTTGAACTTAACTTTCGTTGAATTGAATTATGGATTCAAGGTTCATGATCTCATGTTTATGAATGATTTCATGATGTTTAGATGTACTTAGAGTGTTGGAATTGACTAGGAAACATAGGTACATCACTTAGGAACAAGTACGAGAAGGTGGGGAGAACTGGCGTCCCTGGCTTTCTGAGAGGCGCGAGGCTCCAGCCCTTAAACGTCAAAGAGAATGCTGGGGCACGCTGGGTGGCGCGTCGCCCCAATGGGTGGACTTTAGAATCCCTTTTGGGGTGCGCTGACTGGCGCGGCACCCCACCCCCTTCCCCAGGTTTTGACGATTTTTCTTCTCCGATTTTCAACTCTAAATCTTCTTAACCTCAATGGTTCTTTTCTCAAACACTTAGAATCATTTATACCCTCAATACCCAATAGATTTAAATCAAAAAATAACCCGGAAACACGAATCAAATCAATACTAGGCATTCAACAATTAACCAACAAGAATTCAACAATGTTCTTCAAGAACTTCACTTCCTTAACATTCAAACAACTCCAATCTTTGCTGAATTGAACACGTTGTGTGTGGGTGAACTAACCCAACATGAAAAGATCTCACATACCTTAATAGAGATCACCCCCGACGAATTCCACTCCAAACACTTGACATTCTTGGCGAAATCTTGGCTTTTCTCCCTTTCTTTCTTCTTTTCTCTTTTCTCCAAACCCTAAGCGTATTCTAATTTTCTAAACTGAATAAAGTCTGGTTTTTACCCCAATTAATCTCCTAAAAACAAATTAGAGTAATTAGGTATGGAAAAGACTGAATCACCCTTCTAAAATCCGAATTAAACAATTCCGTATTCCAATTGCCCAACTTCCAAAGGACATAACTTGCTCATACGAACACGGAATGGCACAAACTTGGCGGCGTTGAAAAGATAATTCCAAGAGATTCCCAACCATATCTGGAACTACACCTAACTCATCCTGAGCTAGTAGTTATGGCTGTCTAAAGTTGACCAAAAACTCAACTTTAGCTTACAATTTTTTCCAGATTTCCTTATACTTCCGAAAAATAACTATTTCCAGGATTTTAAACTTCTTTCTAATTATTTCTAGTTGCGAGATGTTACATTATTAATGACCTTAATTCGCGTCCAGCCCGCCACAGCGGCCCTCACACCGCTATAGTAGCCCTGCCAGAGCGGCGAAAAAACCCCCACCAAGGCGGCTTGCACGAACCAGTGAGCTATTTTGAAAATTCCAAGACCCTCATTTCACAACACACCTCTAACCCACGGCGCTCAGAAAATACCCTTTGCGCTAAGATCGATTTCGGAAGTTCTACTCGCCTGAATTCAATTTCGTAAAATCGTACGAGTCCTTTAACGAGTTATCTAACTACTCATGCAATCAAAATCATAAATGATTCACCCAATTGTTACCAGATTTCCCTACACCTTTATAACTCCAATTTCGTCCAAAACTGGACTAGTGTGGGAAATTTCAAGATACTACGAAAAAGTTTTCCGACCAAAAATTTTCCCCTGTCGGCTTTTCTATAACGACGGAACCCGGTCATTACATGACAATTCTCTAACTCTTGAGAAGTTTAATAATTTTGGGAAAGGATATTCAGAAGCATATATCTACATCACAATAGAAAATGTTAACGAAAACAAAGAATTTAGACTACATCATGTTAACTTCATATATTGGAACATTACACAGTAATATATATATATATATATATATACATAGATTAAGCAAAAAAATAATTATTATATCATCAAAATTATTTTCCTCAAGTACTCAAGGTTATGGAATATACCCTCTTATATAGGATGATTTACTTCTTTAGAATAGTGGTACCTCATATTCCGCTAAACTTTCAACTCACTCAACCACAATATATCACATGATTTTTTTTAAAATGCAATAAGAAGAAGAAGAGTACAAGATTAAAAAAAAAATGGGGTTAAAAAATGAGAGGAAGCCCCTCTATTTATAGTCAACAAAGGGTAGTATGAACAAGTGTTTTTTATTTCATTAGAATAGTGGTACCTCATATTTCGTGAAACTTCAAACTCACTCAACGGCAACAAATCACACGAAATTATTTAAAATGCTTGAAGAAGAGTAGAATATTAAAAAAAATTGTGGTTGAAAAATAAGAGGAAGACCCTCTATTATAGTCAACAAAAGGTAGTATGAACAAGTGTCTTTTTGTGTCTTAACTGAAAAGTCATGACCTTTCCCAGAAGTCACAACCATTTGGAAAAGTCGCAACTTATTGAAAAAGTCAAAATTCTTTGGAAAAGTCACAACTCATAAAAAAATCACAACTTATCAGAAAAGTCACAACTCATCGGAAAAGCCACAACCTAAGTTAGGAATATTATAGTAATTTAACATTCAAGTTAAGATTTCATGCTTTTAAGGTAATATATAATAGAATATATATATATATATATATATATATATAGAGAGAGAGAGAGAGATAGATATATATAGATATAGATTTTGCATGCCCTATTTATGACTAAAGGATGATTTTAAGATAAAGTGTCAGTGCTTTGTGAAATGTTTTCTCACATTTGAAAGAAATAAAGATTTAGATGATTATATAGGTGAGTTTCACAATGAATTATGTTATGCAATTATGGTTTTTAAAGGAGCTATTCTAATATGAAGTTATGATTGGATTTGTAGTATTAATTGTTTCTTTTCCAAGTATTTTGACTATGATATGATTATGACTTTGTCTATTCCATTTTGATTTTACTTAGCATCGAGAGGACTTTGGAATGGAAGCCCTACTGCATGTAGAGGTTTGGTCTTTAGAAGTAGTTCCTTTGTCCGTAACTATGTGCCCCTATAGAATTTATCTTAGGAAGACATGGCTAGTGGATCAACCTAACCTAATATGTATGGTCCTTACCTTGGCAAGTAGGAAAATCTCTTTTCGGTGTGAGAAAGACACCGGATTCCATCTTATAGAACACATGGTCTATATCAATTAATAGTAAATTTCCCACTAAAGAACTATGTTTTCATAAAGGTTTTTATGACTTCGTTAAAGAATATTATTAAATCTTATGTTATAATATTCAGATTATTGCTTTGACCTTACATTCAGTTATTTCAATTTAATTATCTATTAGTTATATGTTTTACTAGTTGGTCATTGCATAAGTTGATGTATTTCAGTTTCATATTCATTTTTGTGTGTCAGATTCATCATGTCCAGCTTCACAAAGTATCAAGCATATATCACATACTCAATACAATTAAAGTATTGATTTGCATACCTCTTGTGCGTACATTTTTCATGTGATGTTGATTCAAGTTCATAACATCAGGATCCTAGTGCGTTGGATTGCAGCTTTAAACTAGCAGGTGAAGA